CTCTAATAAATTTGTTATAAATTTGTTAGTCTCTAAGGTGCCACAAGTACTCCTGTTCTTTTTGCAATTTTTACAATGCTGCTGTATAAATGGGAGACATGACTTGTTAAGTTCTCCACTACAAAGGCTTCAGAGGATAGATCCTCAGCTGATGTCAATGGGACTAGGACAGTTACACCAGTGGAGGACCTGACCCCAGGACAGGATGTGAGGCTAAAACACATGCACCTTACAAATGTCCTTCCTTGATCAGGGAAGTTTTGGAGGAATCCTCTGCATCTTAACAGCAGAGTAGATTTTACACAAAACATGCGAGACCCGGAGGTCAGAAACATCTCATTCCAATGAACAAAGATCTTACTGTAGTCAAGTTTCCTGACTGCTTTTGTTCTTCCAGCAGCCATCTGTTATGCGAGGACTTTATTTAGGATGTAAGCTATGTTTTCTGTGAATGTCTTAGCATGCTTTGGGGCTTTTTAAAGGAAATAATTATAATCAAGCTACAGCCATCAAAATGGATTTGGTCCATATTCTCCAAGACAGGTTAGTGCACAAGTCCCATGATGATGGTCAGAACAGGCACAGCCTAACAGAACTAGAGAGTAGATCTCAGATTCAGGGCTCCTGAAAAAACACTCATGCCACCTCTTTTTAAAAAAAGAAGAAGGTCTCTTCGTTCTACATTCACCGTAATCCCTGGGGCGATGGCTCATGTCTAGACTGAATTTTAATTAAAAACTAGCTCAATAGGTTCACCACCACACCAAGTAGCTGCCCACGTACACAGAATTCACCACGAGGACCACAATTCAGCTCCTTCTCTCCCAATCTTACACATACAAAAAGAGGGTCCCATTGGTGGGCTTCTGGGTTTACTGCCTGGCAGTTTAAGGGCATATTTTCAACAGGATAAAAATAGCAGGAATTTGGACAGCCAGTTATCCCCTGTATTAAGCCAATCACATTCCCAATCCCTCTTATGCACACTCTCCCTCTCCCCACAGACAATCAATTCCTTTCACCTCACTCATGGCTCCCCATAGCTGGAACATCTACAAGAGCATTTTAGCCCAACTCAAGTGGACATTTAAACAAAGGTCAACTCCAAGCCCAGCCACAGATCTTTTCCTTCTCCACTGACTATGAGCAACATATTCTGGGCTAAGCACCCAGCATGTAGGAGGAGAAAGGTTGGGCACATTACCGGGCGTCCCATAATTTACCCACTAGAAGCAGTGCAATTCACAGAGTGCTGTGCGAAAGGGAGCGTGGCAGTCATAATTACTCAACAGAGATTTGGCAGGAGTATTAAGACATCATTTGAAAGAACAGTCAGAGCACTTTGAAGAAAGGAGGAAATGCCAAGAGAGATCCCTGGAGCCAAGAGGGAGATAACATCTCAGCAACTCATGTGACCTAATTCTAGGCCAAACTTAAAGAAGAAGAGGGACAGTGAAAAGGGAGGAGAGGGAGTGACAGAGAAGGAAGGTGAAGCCACAGCCCCACTGTTGCACACAGTAACCATCCCAAGCAGCTGTCCACAGCAATGCAATGACTTCCCTGTTTGCCAACAGCACCTGACATCATGCATGAGTCACTTCACCCTATTTAGGGACAGCACTTTGCTAGACCATTACAAATTAGGACAATTAGGTTAGTGAAATGGGGATTTAGCTACAGATCAGGTCAATGGAAACTGAGTGGGTAGCTTTCAAAGTCATGGGACCTAAATCCAGGTGTTTCTCAGTCAATCCATAGGATCTTCAAGTTTGTATCTACATTTCCCTCCCATAGTACTCCTTTGGAGTCATTTCTTCCTTTCAAACTTGGGAACAGCACCCCAGTTCTTTGTAGCGCAATAGAGCACGAGGGAGCAGCTGGCTTTCGGATAAAGCATGTGGTTTGCGAGCACAGTCCACCTAGTCACCATCACCAAAGGAGCAGTCCCTTGCACGTGGAAGGATGCCCATTTCACTCCACAGCTGGAAATGATCAAGGATAATCAGTGGCCATAGGAGACCAGGTTTATAACAATACTGGTCAAATTTTGATACTCTGTGAGAGAAAGAGTATCACCCTACTCCTTGAGTGGTCCCAAAGAGTTCCTTACTTCTGGAGTTAGAGGAATCATAAGACTGGAAGGGACTTCGATAGGTCATCTAATCCAGTCCCCTGCAGTCATGGCAGGGCTAAGTATTATCTAGACCATCCCTGCCAGGTGTTCGTCTAACCTGCTTTTAAAAATCTCCAATGATGGAGATTGAGATTCCTCCAATGATGAAGGCATGGTTCAATGCAAGTAAGGGTATCGGAATCTGGCCCCAAGCATAGGAGGGTAGGGCATGGAAGCTGACGGAGGCAGATTCGCTTTACTTGTCCTTACACTGTAAAACTCCAGAAGCAACTTGGTGCAAGTATCTTTTCCCTTTGCAGTTAAGAATTTACTCATGACCCCTTTGTTTCCAGAGTTCTCTCCAACTTGCTGAAATGCACAATGCAGCATCCAGTGAGGGAATGAAAATGAATTTGCTAGCGAAGTGTTTACTCTCTCTCCGTTCGTGTTGCACGTTAGATCTCTGCAGCTCAGCCCTTTCCCCCTTAGAAATGATCATTCTCACTTCTTACCTTAAACATTTGCTTGACTTTCTGTCGTGGGAGGTTCACATTCAGTTTGTGCATCAGCTGGAGCACCTCGTTAATACTCAAACTGCCATCACCATTCTTATCGGCCTCATCAAAGGTTTGCTTCAACCACATTTAACTGGAGTTAAGAAATGCAATGGAGCATCAAGGGACCCTACTGAACATTATTTGGGCTTGGTCTATACCTAAAATGTATGTGGACCTAATTCACACCCCTGAGAGATGTTGTTAAGCTGCTCTATGCCCGCAGTATAGACACCGCTAGGTCAATGGAAGAAGATACTTCCATTGACCACTAAAATCTTCTTCTGTTGACTTAGCTACCACCTCTCAACATGGTACATTTACTAGAGTGGTGGAAAGACCCCCTCCGTCACCATAGGAAGTGTCAACTCTGCAAGTGCTACAGCGGCACAGATGAAGCACTACAGATTAGTGGACTTTCTATTGAGGCTATAAACCACACACACACACAACACACACAAAATCAAAGAAACAGAGCTGAAAGGGACCTCAAGAGGTCATCAAGTCTGACCCCCGTGCTGAGGCAGGACTAAGTAAACCTAGACCATCCCAACAGGTGTTTGTCTAACCTGTTCTTAAAAACCTCCATTGACAAGGATTCCACAACTTCCCTTGGAAGTCTTTTCCAGAGTGTGGTTAAAGCTTTTCTTAATATCTAACCTAAGATAGTTTAACTAGAAAAACAATAAAGCAGCTCTGTTGCCCATGAACTAGATTTGTCACTGGGAGTTCTGACAGCCTAAGCCGGATATAAAACCCCCCTAATCCAAATGCACCTCAGGTGCTGCATACAAGCTATCAACAGGTTCCCAGCACCTTTCCTCGCTGGCACTCGTTAAACAGGTTATTGGGCCCCAAAAGAGCTGAAGTTCTTTGCAGCCTTCCTGAAGGCTTTGTCACACACCTTGTTATGGTGCCTCTTTCCCAGGCTAGGATCTCAGACTGCTCAACCTAACGTTGCCTTGCAGCTGTTAGCTAAAGGGACCGCAATACCCTTTTCTTCTCACCAGCACAAGAACATTCCCCCGTAAAAGGAAAGAATAGCTGGCTACATGCAATAGTAGGGGACAGGCTTTCCTTCACAGAACAGGATCTAATAAGCAGCAAAGGCTTCCTACCTGCCAGAGTTAACGTCAGAGATACCGTACAGTGGCCATCAGCAAAGAGACAGTATTTGGCAAGTCTACCATCTGTTTCCTATTCTAAGTACAGGGAAAGAAAATGATGGCATCTTGGAGAGATCTCACTGTGTGGTCACTGGCAGCAAATTCAGTCTTCCAGTGGTGATCACAGTAGACACCCTGCAATAGCCTAGCATAGGGGAGTGATCCAGGTATTGCAATAAGCAGATATCGATGGTGCCTTTAGCATCTCAGCAGCAGCCCCGAGCCAGGATCTCACTGCCTAATTTCGGGTTTGATGCAGTTTTGTCCATGTACACAATTTCCTCCTGTCCCTGATGTCAAGGTGTGGGGAGAGGATTTTGGTCTGCCTGCGCGTGAGCTTTAAATGATGCCTATTAAAATCCTGCTCACGTGAATCTTCTCAGCAGCAGCACCGGCTGTTTACCCACAAATACACAATGAGAAATGTCTTTAAGCTCTGAACAAATATAAACTTAGGGTTGAATTCTGCAACATGCAGAGAGGGCTACGGCTGCATAGGGTCTAATTGAAGGCAGAATGTGGCCCTTTATTTTTTTAAATTCCATTCTCCCTCCACCATATGCCTAGCACAGGCCTCTAATCCTCTTGAAGGACTTTTGACATGCAAAGTGTCAGCTGTTGAGACTTCCCTGCAGGATGACAACCGGTGATAAGACACAGCACCCACTTTCTCCACCTCCCAGCCTCTCTCACTCATTTGCCCCTTATTCTCAGCTCAGAAGGCTGAAAACTATCTGCTAAGGGTATTGTCAAAGACACAAAGGGCAGGTAGGAGCCCATCGCCCACTGAACGTCAACGGGAGTCGTGCACCTAATTTGTGCCTTTGAAAATAGCCCCCCGGCTTTTTCAGGATGTGCGTGGGTGAAAGACAGGAAACAGGAGAGCGGGTGTGTGGGCTAGACTGGAGGAGGGGGTCCAAACGGGAGTGCGCAGAAGGGGGAATCTCCTCTGGGATGAAACAGAGCCTGGAATGCTGCACCCCATACTCAGATGTGTAGGGCCCTTTGGGAACAGGAGCATGTGACAGGACCCGTTGTGCAACCCTATGCCTCGCACTTGCTGCCAGTGAAATAAGCACTAAGGACAGCTCCACAAATTCCTTTAGGAGTGCTACCGCCCCACCCTGCGAGACACCCTCCCCCACAGCACAGAAGGATATTGGTCTCTGGTCCTCTGCCGTTTTGACAGGCTGTCTTCATCGCTGATCCCTGCCATCAAGTACTTGAGCCCCGTGATCCAGGTGCGCGCCTCCTCCCCGCTGGAGGACACCAGGTCGAGAGACTCCATGTGGTCTCCATAGTAGATGCTGAAGCAGCAGTTGGGGTCAAAGCTGCCATCGGCGTAGCGCTGGAAGATTTCCGACTGCTTCCCCTCACACACCTCCTGCATGGAGTCAATGGAGACTAGAAGAAAAAGAGAGGCAGGCGGCTCGTTAGAGACGGTCAGTGGAAGATTATTGGTGTTAGTTACAATCAGACTCTTGGAGGGAAAAGAGTCCTTTTCTTTGTCCTGGAAAAACAAATCACCCCCTTTATCCTCATTGCTGAGCATTACCACTTGGCAGAGGACTTAAATGAGAGCTTTGCCACTGGGGGGGGGGGTGAGGGGGAGGATGATTTGTAATAAAATGAGCCCAGACAAGCAGCCAGACCTTATTTTAGTCTGAGAAGGTGAAGGGGCATGAGGTAATCTGCATATTAACACACCGTTTAGTTTCTAGTACTCTCGTGCCTTTCCTTTAAGCTTTTGTAACCTGTCTGCATTGACATTCAATTGCTCGTGACTCTTTTCCACTAGTCTTTGTGGATATATTTGGGTTGCTATATTCTACAGCTAGAAATAAAATCAAACACAGTTTGCACGTTACAGTGGTTTCCCTACACACAATCCATTGTAAAGAGAGCCTACGCATTGTCTAGGAAAGAGTCAGAAGCACATGCAGCCAGCCAGCCCCCATGTCCTCACCAGCATTTACACAGGCATATGGAAACAGACAGGCTTTCTAAACACACACAGTATTATTTTATCGTTTATCATGAAATGCAGCTGGATGCTATTTATGCCGATCCACCCAAATTTAGCCAGTCTTGCTACTTGGTTTCCTTTTTGCTGTTTCCACAGCACATGGGATTTCTTCATTCCTGTCCTTCACAGAGATAGACCCAAGCTGCAAAGTTTTGAGGCGGGCTTCCCCAAAGGTCAGATCTTGGGGTGTTGGCTTGGGCTCCATCTCCTCTCTCGAAGTGCAATGCATTGTGGATTAACTAGCCCCTCATCACCCAATACAATTACCTCCAATACCAATGGATTTTGTGCAGCAGGCAGTAATATCCTAGGCCTCTAACACTGGGGAGGAGGGTAAAACTCTTTGCAGAATTCAGAGAAACAATCTTCACCTTAAAAGCTGGTATTTCTTATGAGGCATAGCCTCAGAATTCCCCCTGGAATGGTTGCTCTTAAAACTAGTTTCCCCACCCTGAGAAATGCAAGCACAGACTCCCTCCTGACTGCATCTCCAACAGCACGTGTCATTTTCAGTGTGTTTAGGTGAGGCCCCCCACTAATACCACATTCTGTTCTCTTGGGGGGTCTGGGTGAGCTGCACCTTTCTGCAGGAAGGAGGCATCTGTTTTCCTGAATTTGAGACCTTGCAACTAAGTTTGCTTTCCAGGCAATGCCCATCCCTGGCCTAGCTGGGGTCAGTCTAACATAATCTACTACATCGATAAGGAGTGGGTCTCCAACTATTCTTATTTATCGGGGGTAATATTAACCTAGAGCCTCAGAGCCCCAGGCCTGAACCCCATTGTATCTGTTCAGCACCTAAAAGACAGGAGCTCACAGGCTAATTTAGGAGCACTTGATTACACTAACATACATCCATAGTAACTCCAGATTTACACCATGGCAACAGGGAAGGATTTGGCCCCAGGCTGTAAAGTCTACTTTTTGAGGTAGCTGTGTAAGGTAACACAGCAGAACAGCAGACCCCGTCCTCAGGAGAACTGGCTCTTTCTTCTTCCTGTCCTCCTTGCTGTTAGTGATAGGCAAGTGAAGGTCCCAACACCTTCTACCCAAGAGCAATTTTCGTTCAGCTGTTTTATCCTTGACATTATTCCCTCCACGCCCCCCTCTCTTACTGCTGAGTCACTTACGAAGCCGCATCAGTTGCTGAACTCGGCCCAGAAACGCAATGTTGGAAGAAGAGAAGAGGAAACGCAGCTCTGGAAACAGCCAATTTGTTGAAATTAGATCCGTCCACTGCTAAACCTCTTGCTCTGCAGAGGATGCTCAGCACCCAAGCTTAGCCCAGACTGGGACTCACGCCAGAGAGAGGCCTTGGGAAGTAGAGTGTAAGTTAGAGCACCCCGGAGTCTGCTCTAGTTTTACACTAGTGGGCAGACAGGCCCCTGGATGGCCCCAGGACACGGGAAGCGCATGTGTGACTCAAGGCCACCTCTCCTCTTCTCCCACAATCCCCACCCAAGCGCAAGAATGGAGTTTGAGACTTGGACCCAACATGGGCTCAGGTGGCCAAACTTTCAGTTCTTTGAAAAAGAGGAGAAACCAGGCAAGCACCCACTGTGCTCATTCAGTGCCTTCTAGAGGGTCCAGACAGCAACAGGGGCTGCTTCTTGCCGCCCTGTTACTGAATAAAGTTAAGCCTTCTTGAACCTTTGGGGGTCCACTGTATTAGAAATGCAATTGTGTAGGTGTTATTGTGGAATTGTATGCAACTCCACTAGGGAAAGGGGATGCTAATGTAATCCCTCTGCTTACCAGCCCCTTTGAAGCCACCCCCTGGTGAGGTCTGCATAGACTAGCTCAAACTGGATTTTCCAGGCACCAACAACCAAAAAGGATTTTTGGATAAACAGCCTGGTTTTAAATAGGCTCAGGCCCTTCTTCTTCATGCAGCAAATGGACAGGACGCCTGCTTCACAGAGCGCCACAGTTCTCAGGGAATGGTTGGAAGGAGTGGG